ATAATCTGAAAGAAGAACAACAATTACATAAGAATTGTCAATTAATTCAATTACATTATCTTTTCGATTGGGGTTCAAGATGTCAATTCAATCAAAAATTTCACGAACTTTGGTCTGAAATTCTCGAGCAAGACTCACAGTTTAAAAAGTATGGATTGAAAATTAAGCTTAACACTAAACATTGCTATTCGTCAAATACTCTCTTGGCTCGATCGAACATACATGCATGAAGTGAGAGAATTCAATTTTAAATATTTATTTCTTTGCATATTTCTATCAATTCAGATATTTCTAATGCTTGATTATAAGTCATCAATTTCCAACCACACATGTCATCTTATTATTCTTCTTTTTTGTATGTGTCTTATTGTTATTCACTTAGTATAGCTAAACTTTTATCAATAATACATCACTATAATATTTTTTATATACTCTCAAAAGTGTCACCTACAACTCTTCATATTGCTTGTCTCTTTCTTATTTTTTTTTCTTCTTCTTCGTCTTTCTTATAGATCGGTTCGAATAACAAAACGATGGAACAATACTCTCATATATTTCTTGTTTTATAGATTCTTTATTTATCTCTCATTACTTGTTATACTCTTGCATGTAGTGAATCTAAAAAGAATCAATATGAAAACATTGTCTTAAAATTAGAACAATGTATTCAAATAATTTATTTCTTATTGATCAAACGGTACTATACGTAGGACATGATCTGTTTTCAAGCAATGAAGTTAGTCAAGCTCAATTAATTGATGTTCAAAAACAATTTAAACCATGGTATAATAATATATTTCGTCATAATATGCAATGTCATCAATATCTGAAATATGATGAAATTGGCAGTTCATTATGTACATGTGCTCATCGACCATATAAATTGTCGTCATATCAATGGTCAATAACAAAAACAATTGCTTACACATTTGATGAACGTTATGATTATTATACACATGACATTGAGAAATGTTTAGCTGTCACTAAACTTGGATATGTCATTAACGAGAAATGGACGAGTCAAAAATTAAAAACTTATAAATAAAAACAACTGATCAATAGTAAGGTAGCAAAAAAATTGAATTACTCTAAATAATTTCAATATTGAATATAATAATCCTATATTTTATCTCATGCTTTTCTTTTTAGATTACATGACAACACTACGATAGTTCAACCGCCTAATAAAAATGAACTGAAAAATTCAGTCAGATTGCTTTTATGTTCTTATTTAATGCTATGAAATACTCTTGTTCTTTTGTTTCTATATATATATGTCTCCTGATTTTTCTACTCGATTATATTAAATTCTTTCTTTATTCCATTGTAGATAAATAATCCTGAAGATGATTAGCTTGTAAAAGATTGGAAACCGATTGATAACTTGAACTTGACATGTTTAATTCATTTCACTCAAGTACATCAAATTTGTAGTCATCTAATTTCGAGAAGACATCGACTGATCGAAACGGAAAATTTGAAACAAAACAAATTGTACTTGTCTCTCTTCTGTAAGAATGTATGTCAGTGTTGGTTTTTCAGTAATTGATTCTATTTATGTTTCAACATTGAAACGTCCTTGTATTTCAATTATTTCTCAACAAAACAGACTTGTCCTTATACAACACACATGGAATGTTATAGACGATATCTAAAGAGAAGATCGAAAATTTACAAGAACACTCCATAGACGATTTAGCAATTCAAATGGATAATACAATGATAGAAAATATTATAAATATTTTTATCTTTTCAAAAAGTCCGTCTAGTCATATTTGTATTGAATATTTCTCTTCTAGACTTAAACCAAAGATAATGGTCAAACATTTATTCTACTTATATCTTTTATGGGTTATGTTTTTCTTCTCGAACATTCATCCTATTCTTGGGTGTAATGAAACTTTGACAAGTATAAATAATGCTTCAACATTGCCACAATGCATATTGACTCATTCTGATTCATTTATACCGGTTTTACTTGCCATTTTAATATCTTCATTAATAAATTATTATCAACTGAAAAATGTCAAGTCTTATATTGAATCTTCAAAACAATACCTATGGAATACATATCCAAAGAATATTCAAGTGAAAAAATAGAGAAAAATGAGAAATTCCTCAAAATTTATACCGATAAGACCTTACAAATCCCTTAATATTGATGAGACAACAACATCTACCGAATTGGATAAATTAATCATTGAAATTAAAGAAATAAACACATCTACAATAATTCTCTATGATGCATGGTCATCCAGTGAACATATACTTCAAACAGAGCTCATAAAACAATCATTTTCAATCAAAACTATAATTCAATCGTCTCTTGAATGTTATGTTATACATCCAAAAATCAAAGAATTACTGGTAATTATCTTTCAATCATCGGCTACAATTCAAATATCGAATAAGTCCAATAAAGATTTATTATACAATCGAGTTTATCATGCCTCTACTAATTGTGATTTAAAGAAAACTCATTTCATTAATATACAAGAATCTTACAAAACTTGCTATAATACAACATTTAGCCATAATGAGAATTGTGCTCAGACCTTTGATTTTGATGATATGGATGGCCCATTATGCACATGTTCACATCGACCACTAAAACGTTGAAACGATCAATGGTTCCTACGAGATGCTACTCCAAATATATATTCCATGAAAAACTTGAGAGCAATAATAGTGATTTTCATGAATATCAAGCCATCACAAAACCAACCATGACTATCAATGAAAATCGGAGCCGATAACAAGCCTACGACTATTTAAAACAACATAATGCTAATCAAAAAGTAAATTTTAACCCACACTTAATATTTGTCACGAAAGAGCTGTTCTTCCATTGTACAATGCATAGAGATTCTACATGGTGATCGAATGAATGAACTAATGAACTTTTTGACTTTCTAAGTAACAGCTTAAATAAATCTCAAAAGTTCTTTTACTTTCTTATTCATGTTATCTTTTTAGTTCAATATATATTAATAGTAATTCTCTTGCATTTTCTTTTCTAGACACACATATCTCCGGCCCCGAAGAGTACCCTGTTGTAAAAGATATGAAACGCATCGCCGAAATGATCCCACCATTACAACTTTTAAAATTAATTTTAATTCAAGCACAACAATTTAACACTTTAGTGTCGACAAAAAATCGACTGCTGAAACGCAACATTTGAAACCAACCGATTCATCTGTATAATAGAAATATAAGCCACTCGGTTTTTCACTGATCTACGCCATTTCACATGATGAGTTATACAGCAATATCGAAAATACCAGATATTTGTGGTAGCTTTTACACACCCACTACATGTGCTTCTATTTTATACGAGATAGAAGATGAGACTTTGTTTTTGATTCGAAATTTTTGTCGAAAATTTTGGATCATCTAAGCAAGTATCAAAATGCCACTTGATAAGATTTCAGCAATATCGAAAATACCAGATATTTGTGGTAGCTTTTACACACCCACACCCACACCCACACCCACACCCACACCCACACCCACACCCCCACCCACACCCACCCCCAAACCCCCCCGCGCACACCCACCCACCGCCACATCCACAAAAAT